GGGGGTGGTTTTGTCGTACTGCGGCTTTAAGATGATTCTTTCCCGCCCACTACATGCCTCCTCCCTCAGCTGCGTCAGACAACAGACAGACTTAAAGGAAGAAGGTCTCACATAGCGTTTGTGAGATACTACAGTAAGAACTAAGCTTTACTAATCAGTATTGTGAAGTTGCATTGATGAGTCACACACAATATCGTTAACGCGCGCACGCACACACGCACACAGGCACACACACACTCACACACACACACTCACACACACACACTCGCATACACAAGTCCCGCTGAGCTCTCCATCTGCTTTAAAGCAGACACTTACGCGGGAAGCCAGCCTGTCTCATCAGCCGCTTCTTGGACAGCACTTTCATGGCCTGTGGAGAGCAGTGAGAATGAGGAGAGTGAGAGCAGAAAGCCACAATCATTACTGACATATGCCCCATTCCACAAACACCACTGACACCAGTACCACTCTACTAGACAATGAAGATTAAATAAAGACAAGAAAATTATTATTATTATTTTTTTTACATTGGGTTATTATAGATTGTTTATTATATATTTTTTCTTTATTTTTGTATTTAGTGTTTTCATTTTAAGGTTAATGTAATTTTATATTTTTTTTCTTTGTTTGTTTTCTAAATCCCACTTTTAGTTACATTAAAATAAAAGACTGGGAATGACCCTCTTGACAACAAGCTGAAACGAGCTTATTTAATTTTCTACAATATATTTTATACTAACCCTGGTATTATGATGCGATAAACCAGAAATAGTTATACATCCAAACAATGAATGCCAGGCAAATGAAACAAAGCTCATTTTAAAATTAATACCAAAATAAATGTATATATTTCAGTTTTTGTTATTTTTAGTACAATAAGTCAAACTAAATGAGAAACATTGCCTTGACCACAAACTGAAATAAAAGATTTTTTTGTTTTTGTTTTTTGTTTTTTTTAACATATTTGTTATATGCTTAATATATTTATTAAATAATAATTATAATAATAATAATAATAATTATTATTATTATTATTCTTCTTCTTATTATTATTATTATAAATAGAAGAAAAAGTAATAGTAGAAGTATAAAATTATATATTACTAATACACATTTTTTAAATCTAGTATAATTATTATTATTATTATTATTATTATTATTATTATTATTATTATGAAAATGTGAAATAGTAATAATATTTTATTGCATAATAATCATAATAACAACAACAACAGCAACAATAATAATAATAATAACAATAATAATAATAATAATAATTATTATTATTATTATTATTGTTGTTGTTGTAGTTGTTGTTGTTATTTGACAATTTAAATAATAAACCAATGTTAAAATCCTTTATTATGATGATTATTATGACGATGAAAAAATATGAAACAGTAATATTTAATTTTATAATAGTAATAATAATAATAATTATTATTATTATTATTATTATTATACTAAATTATTACTATTTAACATTTTTAAATTGATAAACCAATGTTAAAATCTATTATGATTATTATTATGATGATGATGAATAAAAATCTGAAATAGTAATAATATTTAATTGTAAAATAGTAATAATAATAATAATAATAATAATAATAATAATAATAATTACTACTATTATTATTATTATTATTTTGAAACTAAAATTATTACTATTTAAAAAATAATAATAAAACAATCTTTAAATCTATTATTATGATTACTAATATCACAACATTTTATAATCATTATCAAAATAATTAGAATACATTACAATAAAACTATTTATAAAATCTTTGGCACAAAAAGTAAAACAAATAAATAAACAAATAAAATTTCAAAAAATGGATAGTTAATAGTTCCAAGTTGCCCATCATCATCTGTGAAATTGCAAAAAACACAAAAACATAAAGGATCCATAACTAAAGCTCTTTTCTGTACAAAACAGCTAAAATGCAAAAAACAGTAAACTTAAAACTCTTTTTAGTCAAAAACATGAAAACAAAACAAAAAAAAAGCCTAAAAATGATGTTGCCACTAATGTGCATACTAGGTGTTTAGGGGAGTGTGAATCAAAAAAAGCCCAAACAAACACAACAATGGGGGAATACCTAGTAGTGTTGCTGTCGCTTAAGTGTTTCCCAACACTTCATCAACGAAATGTGGATTTACTGCAAACTCATACAGCGCTGACAATACATCGTCACTTCCTTAAAGGAACTGTCTACTATCAAGGTGACAGCGCTAAATACTGGCCTGGCATGTACATGATACTGTGTTTTTGGTCATTTTCATGGATGTGTAAATGCAAAAATTTTTTAAAAGGTAAAACTTTTCCATTTTTGGCTGAATAAACGTTGCTTATAATTTCTTGTGACTGCTACAGTATTTATGAGCACTTTATTACTACTGAAGGTAACACCAGGATGTTTGCTCTTCACTTTCATCAAAGATTAAACTCATGTCAAGAGTGCGTGCAGTATATATACAGCTGAAGTTAAAATTTTTAACCCTCTTGTGAATTTTCTTTTTCAAATATTTTCCAAATGCTGTTCAACAGAGCAAAGGATTTTTTACAGTATTTCCTAAAATATTTTTTCCTCTTAAGAAAGTCTTATTTGTTTGATTTTGCCTAGAATAAAAGCAGTTTTACATTTTTTAAATACATTTTAAAGTCGAAATTATTAGCCCCCTTAAGCTATATTTTTTTGATAGTCTACAGAACAAACCATTGTTATGCACTCACAGGCCACTTTATTAGGTACACCTGTCAACTGCTTGTTAACGCAAATTAATCAGGCAATCACATGGCAGCAACTCGATGCATTTAGTCATGCAGACATGGTCAAGACGATCTGTTGCAATTCAATCTAAACATCATAATGGGGAAGAAAGGTGATTTAGTTTAAGTTTTTCAGAAACTGCTGATCTAATGGGATTTTCACGCACAACCACCTCTAGGGTTTACAGAAAATGGTCTGATAAAGAGAAAATATCCAGTGAGCGGCAGTTCTGTGGTATCAAATGCCTTGTTATGCGAGAGGTCAGAGGAGAATGGCCAGACTGGTTTGAGCTGATAGAAAGGCAACAGTAACTCAAATAACAACTCGTTACAACTGAGGTATGCCGAAGAGCATATCTGATTACACAACACGTCCAACCTTGAGGCAGATGACCTACAGCAGCAGAAGACCACACCAGGTCCTAAAGTGTGAATCATCTCAGACTGGTTTCTTGAACATGACAATGAGTTCACTCTACTCAAATGGCCTCCACAGTCACCAGACTCGATCCAATAGAGCACCTTGTGGATTTGGTGGAACAGGAGATTCACATTATTGATGTGCAGCCGTCAAATCTGAAGCAACTGCATGATGCTATCATGTCAATATGGGCCAAAATCTCTGTGGAATATTTCCAGTACCTTGTTGAATCTATGCTACGAATGATTAAGGCAGTCTTGAAGGCAAAAGGGGATCCAACTCTGTACTAGCAAGGTGTACCTAATAAAGTGGCCAGAGAGTGTACAATGATTTGCCTAATTA